ATTTTCCTTCTTAGTCCTTAGTTTTATCTGTATTTACAACTAGTCGCCCACTTTCACCGTTACTCATACTGGACTGCATAGTCCATCTTCCCAGAACCGTCAAATATCCCTATTTTCTCCATTTCCGCGTTCATTCTCTGTTTTACCATGCGCACGTCACGTAACGTGAAAATCTCTGTCAAATAAATGACGATTCTTAATTTTTTTAATTCAGGGCGACACCCCAATATCTGCTCCTAGTTTCCAGGAATTGGAGCAAACCGGGCATCACATTACGAATTAGGGCGACGAACAATATTTCACCAATTCTAAACGTTTGAAAGAATTTAAGAATGGATATTTTGATCTCAACGATGAACCTAATTTTTGGGATCGAAGTGTGATGACGATGAAGTTCTAAACGTTAGAAAATATCAGCGTCGGTTAGAAAAATTTTGATCTCAATGACGAACCCATTTTTTGGGACACTGAAAATTTCATTAATATTACTTGTGACACAACTCGGTACTTTCCGAGAAAGCAACATTATAAGCTACTTTCCACTTGTTTCAAAAATGTTTCAAAGTTGAAACAAAAATGTCACCAAAAGCGAACAGTAAATGTCGCACTAAGTGTTGCAGACTTAGATCACGAGTGAAAATAGTCGGATAATTTTTAACGAGGCCTGAAGCGGTCACGAAGTGCCTTATCTCGAACTTTATGATATATAAAGAAACTTGGTGGATCGTTCAGTGCTCGGACTGATCTTTGTTGGTTGGCGTTTGGAATAAGGGTGACTTGAAATTCGGAAGAGGACATGCATCTAAGTCACCGAAGGCGGAGTTCAATTTGGGAGGGGAAAAATTGGGAGAATATAGAAAATCGATTATTGGTCGTAGGGTGTTTCTTAAGTAGATGGAGAGAGGGTAAAGGTGGTGGTAGAAGGATAAGGTGTCTGGGAAATTCCGGAAAAAAAGATCGGACACGAGGGAAGGAAAGTACTATCTTGATAATTAGGAAGTCAGAACTGTGGAATTGATTTAATAATAAGTTGTGAGTGATGGGGGGTGAATGTAGTGTGTATAGTCGGGGCCACGATATAGCGAGGTCGTAAAATCGGTCAGACGTCAAAGTAAACATGTTTTAGCTGCCGGGACCCGAAAATTCACAGAGATACGAGCAGATAAGTACTTGAAACGATTGTCAGGACCGTACGAAGAATTCTTGTATCCAGCCAAAGTCAACTGATTCTAATGTAAGAGAAAATCAGTCAAGATAACGGTGGTGAGCGGTTGAATAAGATATAAACGTGGGCGGTTAAACAGAGTGAATGCTTGTATTTCGAACTATACTGTACGAGTGCTGATACAATTCTGTCTTTCCTGAAAAACCTAGTCAAGGGGACCCCCTTGACAATATGGCCTTTCTTAGCCTTGAGGCACAACTATCCCTAGGAGTGGGAAACGCAGCAGAAGACTGCACATGCCCACTCAAGCCTTCGCTTTTTGGACTTTTCTAACACTAATATACTTACTGAAAACTGCATGCAGCTAGGACAAATTAGGGTTTCTCCCTCTGGAGGAAGCCGCTTTTGGAAGTACGGTTACAGGTAAAGGTCTTATTGATGTCTTTAGCATCTTAGTTTATCTACTTGTGTTATATACAGATAGAAAGTGCAAAACGATTGTGTAGCTTAATATTAACATATTTTCCATTTGTAAATGAAATACCATTTTCTACTTGAAGTACCAAATCATATGCTACCATTCGTTTATTGTTGGAACCCTCAAACAGACTGCAACACACGGCCTTGAGTGCCGCAACATCAATCGGTGCCGATTCTTCAGAGTTTAATTTACGACCTCGCTATATCGTGGCCCCAACTATATGTCGAATCGTCTGGAGATTTGGTAAACGAGCGAATCATACAGGGTAACTGGGGGTAAAACAGGAGAAGCGCGTTGTTATTGATATCAGTGAGTACGTGAGAATTTATTGTCTATGAATCATTATTTCTTTTTACGTGTGTTTATAGTTATTGTTATAAAATATATTGCTATTGAACTTATTATCAAGTTTTATACAACCACAAGAACAATGGATGGTAAAAGACCGTTCGTTTATGCGTTTACCGAGGGTACGCGTCACTAACCGTCTCGGCTAATCCCATGATACGTTTTACAACTGGTGAACTCGTAAACTAGAGAAAAGAAAATGTTCGGTACGCAACAAATTATCTTACAAACTGTTCCATTCTATTATCAATAAACTCTGATTCTCCCGTCGAAACTCATGATCTACAATGTGCGTTCCTTGATCAAACTAACATCCCTGGTTGATGTTAACATTAACAGATATCGTAAACAATTAAGTTTGTTAGACTTGAGACGCTCTAGAAACAAGAAGCACTTCCTTGTTTTCCAGAACAATATCCTTCTAATTTTAATTGCATTTGTTAATAGGTATTAAAGAGCGATCGAATTCCGTGCGATTCATCGGACCGTGACTACGATATATCCAGGGAACTTGGTTTAATCCGATGCAGTTTCGATATTCCAGCGGGAAAATTATTCGAAAGCCGTGAGCCGTTTTCGCACGCTCGAAAACAAACGAGAGAGAGAGAATCGGCTGGGCGTGTTTACACGCGCGGACAATATTCTAAATCAGCCGGCCCTAATTGCGAATCCGCGGTGCCTGCCGTTCAAATTAGATTCGCTCGGTTCTCGTGGCTGGATGGAAACGCGCGTGCACAGTCAGAAACGGCGACCGAGAGCGGCCACGTTAGTCACGAAACGTCCTTGCAATTTGTACAGATAAACGAACCGAACCGTCCCGTTACGTTACCAACGTGACCAACTTTCGAGGAAGCCGGATTAAATTACAATTAAACGATCGATAAAGAAAGCCTTCGTCATTTTCGCGATACTTTGCAGAATAAAAACTGTTTGCTAGTTGACACTGAACATCGACAAACTTTCTGGTGATTATTACGAAATTTACTAGGGTTGACGTTTCACATTTTTGAAAATAAATAGTGGAAAGTTAGCGTCGAATTTTATTTCGAATACCTAACCTCGAAAAAGTCATGTGTAATATTTTTAAAATGATAAGAGAATTGGAAATATTGTGACACCCTGTGAATTGAATAATTTTGAACGATTGGGATATTTTTTAAATGATAGAAATATTACTATGCTGGACTATTCGAAGGTTACTATGAAGTACGGAATATTAAGACACCCTGTGGAATTTTATTTCGAATATCTAACCTCGAAGATGCCGCGTGTAAAATTTTGAAAGTGGTATGAGAATTAAAAATATTATGACACCCTGTGAATTGAAGAATATTCGAGGTTTCGTGAATTTCCTTATTCCCGATGACACGTGACCGACATTGGCAGAGTCGGACGACTTAAAAGGAGAAAGAGGAATACAAGTGACAGCCGGGTCGAGCAGGTGACACTGTGTAACGCGTGCTGTACGCGTGCTCTACGCTCCGTGTTTATCGACCGTGCCACAAACTCTCCCAAAAAGACGCGGGGTGTGGTCAGATATTTTCCTTCTTCGCCGGTTGTGCACGGTTCGCGGCCAAAGAAATTCCACGGCTGCGAGTCGAGGTCACTCGAGGTCACGGGTGACACGAGACCGATACCCATGCCCTCCTAAGACCGCCTATAGAACCTCGAAACTCTCCTAACCTAGAGGAAACCGCGTGACGTTCTCAGTCGTTCACCGGTCGTCAGCCTTTTTACGGGAAAACAACGACGATATCGACACTTGAGATACCGATCGAAACAATTTTCGAACAATAGATCGAGGTAAACGAACAATAACGATTGAGAATCGTAAAAATTGATAGGAACGATACGATCGTTGTGTGTAGAAAGAAAGAAAAAACAAAATAATGGATAAGGAAAACAAAATGCTGGCGATATCTAGTGACTTTTTGGGGCAACGTCATGCAAGACTGCAACCACCTGCCGTCGCCCGAGACGGGGAACAAGAGATTGTCGGTGGAAGGATAAAAAGAAGGTAGTCGCGATTCGTAAGAGCAGACTGGCGAAAGAGAAGAGAGAGAAAAGAAGGGCAGAGATGACGGAACGAAGCGGAGAAAGAAGAGAGATCGAGTGTTAGATAGAGAGAGAAAGAGAATGTAAGAGAGAGAGTGCGAGAAAGAGGTCGAAGGAGGGGGATGAAGGTAAAAAGCGGCGCGACGACATCGTATTGATTTGGTGACAGATCCGCGTACGATGCGGATGCCTCGTTTTCGACGGTGAGACCACCACGACGGCACGAGGCACGATAGCAAGCGCCCTGACGCTTTATATATAGAGCCTGAGCCACGAGCAGACAGGCCGTGCCGCTTAAATATAGACGAAATGCAACGGGGTGTCTCCCGCGTGCGTGCGAGAGCAAGGGACACGGACACGTTATACGGGACGAAGCAGAGGACGAAGATCCGCGTCGGGCGAGAAACGCGGATAAAAAGAAAACGATAAACGACCGCGACGGTACTAGGTAGTGGGGTATAACCAGAGAAGAAAGAGACCCCACATACGTAGAGAAATAATCATGGCCGACGACACAGCGTCGTCTGCTAGAAGGATCTGTGATAGAAGAAACGACCGTCACTCGCGTGTTCGGGTACAACGCGACAAACATTTCCAAGGACCGATTAATCGTTGACACGAGATACACTAAGGGCATAAGAAATGTCCATGACACGGGTCCGCGAGTAACAAAAACACATCACACGTAGCAAACACTGAGAGAGAGACAGAAATACACGGGCAAAACGAGAGAGCAAGCGAGAGAGAAAAGATAAGGGAGAGACAGAGAGGCACGAAGTGTGTATACACCGAAGGTCGAGAAACGAAACAAACGTCGAGTGACACGCGGTAATGTTAAACCAATGCTCTCACTTCGACACACTCTCTCTCCCTGTCTATCTTTCTAGTTCGCCCGCCGTTCGTTATACTCGCCAATATCGTGAATATTTTTCCTTCTTTTTCGTTACTTACTTGCCCAGCTCCTCCTTGAGATCGTAGTTGTCACTAAACCGCGTGCAAGCGGTCGGAGCAGCCATGTCGAGGTATCGCGATTATTTACCGCACTAACCGAGGAACGTAAGCGCAAGAGCCACTGCCGGCCGCCACTACCGCACACGCTAGGGGAAACTTCGCAGGTCAAATTCGATCAATAGAGGGGAACCGCCGCGGCGCTGGTAGAACACCGGGTAACCGACGGGCGGGGAGGGTCGTCGGGCCGGGCAGAGGGGAGGTGGTTCTGTCCGCGGGAGCCGTGCGTTACCGTGGCACCGACGGTGGGGCAAAATCGCGGTCGTGCGCCAGCAAATATTTGCGGGCAACGACAACTCAATCCTTCCACGACGCGTCCGCACTGCTCGCCGGCAGACCGTCGACTGACTCGCGTAGTGGTGGTAGCTCGCGATGGCGCAGGCGATGTTTCACGATACCGCTACCGCCGGCAATGGCGACCACGACAATCAACGTATATACCTGGTGACGACGATCAACACCGATACCACTGCCGGCAGGGCTGACGATAGAGGTTCGCTACCGAGCCGTTCGAGCGCAGCCAACCTAGGCGAAATAACCCAAGGGGATCGAGCCAGCACATTTAAATTTAGCACCTGGAATTATGCTCGGCCACGCGGCTAACTTTTTCAGGATCACGCTTCACGGTACAATTTACTTTCTATTCTGCCTTCTTTCCTTTCCCTCTTTCGTCGACGTAACGCGACCGTTGTCGCCTCGTTCACGCTTCCGTTTCGTAGACGATACCGTCTACGATCCTCGTCGTTGAAGAAACAAATTTTTTATCCACGCGATTAATCACGGTTCGTGGAAGAACAAATTCGAGAACTAATTGTTTCGTGATATCGAACGAGAGATTCGTTACTCACGATTCGAACGACCGTAACAGAGTTGCGAACCGTCGTTGGTAGACACGGGATACCGCGCACTGACTCGATTCCGCATGTCCGACATAAACACGAGATTTACTACTGGCGCATACGCCGTCCGAACGGAGCTTCGGTATCACTTCGATCGTCTTTTTGGCGCACGTCCAATTAGAACGATACACCCAGCATAGATCTCGAGAAATTAAAAGACGTACGAACTTGTACCACGATATACGTATTCTATTCGTGCGTTGCAGGGACATATTGGATTTACGTTATATCGATACTATCGATATCGTCAAATAGTCTGCGATACTTTTATGTCTTTCTTTAACAATTTATTCGATACATTTACATTCCAATTCGTTCTTTTTACTTTTTTTTTTAAAGAATTTCTAGTTTTTTTATAAACACGTATTATAGTAACTAAACGTGAATAACATATATACATATAAATATATATGTATATATATATTTATTTATTTATACGTTCTAAGATATTTATTTATCGTTCGATATATCGCAGAAAGTGTTACATGCGATTTTTATAGACGATATTACAAATGGTCGTGTTTATGTTTCCAACACCTCAATTAATCCGTATAAAAGTTTCATTTATTCGTGGATCACGTCGACACACGATAAAACGGGAGAGGAATATTTCTACGTCTAAGAAATAGGACCAGGATATTCTACTATACGAATCTCCAAAATTATTTTCATATAACTTTCTTTCTTTTTTTGTCTTCTTAAAACTTGATCTTGAATATATCGTGTCGATAACAAAATTCACTTACAACTCGTTAATATACCTTTCATAGCAAAATCGAAGAGAAAGTATGAAATTGTCAATATCTGCTCCTCTCTTAAATACTGTACAAAATACGAATTTCTGAAAGCATACAGCAAACATCATTCTCCATTGTCGATAGGGATGAAATCTATGGCGGTCGCGCCATACCCATAAGTTATCGTTTCTGTCAATTATCTAATTCTCTACGTCCAGTATGGTTGCTCTTTCCGTCTTTATTAAGATTTACGAGATACACACAGCCACATGCATACACACAAGAACACTCTTCAGAGTAACCGCTATATGTATATGTAAATATCGTGTGATAACAATTTCATTTTAACTCCTACCCGCAGTCTTATTCAAATTGATTAGAAGTATAAGAATTACAATAAATCTGAAAAGCGTTCTCTTTGTTTAATTTTCTTTTTTATCGACTGATATGAATACAAATAACCGTTAAATGCACTGAAATCATTTGTAATGGGAGTTCCATTTAACAAATATTCCCACGTAACAGGAACGTCATTCTTGATTCTTTCGATGAATTACTCGTCTTCTGTCGTACGACTAAATATAAAGACTAACGATGGTCCAAAATGATTAATCCTAAATACTATCTAAATACGCTCGCGAGTACAAGAAACGTCTCGCCACTAACTGTTGTGCTCGTACTCTAACAGCTCGAACCTATAGTTACTAAGTACATATAAAATGACAAATTTCACGTTATCAAGGAAAATTATCACGACAAATTGTTCTCTCTGCCTTGTTCTCGTTCTTCGTGATAGGCAAAACGCCGTTGAAATAGATGGGTCGTTGATAAATTATTGAAACTCGAAATTAACAACCGAGTATTGTGCATGCCGCTGTTCGAAATAAGTCCGTGGACGTTCCATTATGGAACAGACTTTACTCGACCGTGACCGACTTCGCGAGATTCCTCGGACAATCGACGTTACAACCGCGAAGAACCGCGATATGGAAAGATAGCAGTTGCATTGGAATGACTGTGAGTATTCCTTGAAGGCAGTCCACTGTCTTAGGCACTTCGAGAACTCTGTCGGCGAACGTTTTCGTCTCTTCGTCTCCCTCCTCGCAGATAACAATCGGTTTGCCGTCTCTGGCTGTAACTTGTTGCAGAGCATTCATGCATTTCTGAAACAGAAACGGTGCGAATTTTATCGACATTCTACGCTCGTCGATAAGGGGACGAGAAATATTGAATCGTTGGAAATTTACCGTGTGGACTGGATCCCTCATGACGATCATTATAACAGGCATAGAATCGTCGACGAGTGCCAGAGGTCCGTGTTTCAATTCACCTGCCATGATACCTTCGCTGTGCATGTACGTCAGCTCTTTAACTTTCTGCGAACAACAAGATAACAGATTGTAATAACAAAGGTAGAAAAGGAGTGCTTGAAAAGGTTCTTGAAAGTCGAATGAACGTACTAGAGCGCCTTCCATACACGTAGCAAAGTTGTATCCTCTACCCATAATTAACAAAGACTTGTGCTGGAACAGAGACTTGGCCAGTTCTTTGACTTTCTCGTCGAGTTGTAACACTTTACGAATTAGACTATCCAAATTCTTCAGTCCATTGATAATCTATCAGTTCAACGAATCAGAAATTAGAAATACATTCTACACTCTCTTAAGAGCCCATAGAGAAATGAATTAAGAAGAATATCTCGCACCTCTTGGCGCCTGTTACCAAGGGAGATTCTATCCTCGCTCATAACCAAAGCGAACATAACAAGAGAAATAAACTGTGAGGTATACGCCTTTGTGCTGGCCACACCAATCTCAGGACCGGCGTTTATGTGAACACCACAGTGTGATTCGCGACAAATGCTGCTGCCCACGGTATTAGTGATACCAACAATTAAAGCACCACGCTTCTTGCAATAACGCAAAGCCATCAACGTGTCTGCTGTCTCGCCTGTGAAACAAACAATGAAAGATCAACATCGTCATATTAAACGAATGAATAATAAATTAATAAAAATTGAAACCTGCCTGACTGTGAAATAAAGAAGCAGACATCATCCCTGTATACTGGTGTGTTTCTATCCAAGAAATCAGAAGCTAATTCAACCATAACTGGTAGTTCAGTTAGCTCTTCCAGAAGCTGTCTTGTAGCAATGGCAGAATGGTAACTGGTTCCACAGCCAATCAGCATCAAACGTCTGCACCTCTTGATCTCAGGAATATACTCCTAATGACAAATTTATTAGACCAATTCTTACCCCAAGAAAAGAGGAACAATTAACCCCTTGCAGTATAATAACGAGTCAGACTTGTGCCACAGATTTTGGTCAATATCTGATAAAAACAGTTGCATCAGTAAGAAAAATTCATAAAACTGAAGATTTCCAAATTTAATTAGTCCACAATAATTCTCACTTAACACAGTACTAAAATATGAAATAGTTGTGACTTGGATGCACAGGTAGTAAAAGTAATCATACGTCAAGGGGTCAAAAAATGAACTAACTCTAAATTCACCTTAATGCCTCCCAACGTGACAGAATTATCCGTGAAGTTCAGACGACCCCTCATGGTGTTCACCACCGATTCAGGCTGTTCGAAAATTTCCTTCTGCATGAAATACTCGTAGTTACCCTTCATGATCTGCTGAATCTCCATTTTCAACGTGGTGATTTCTCTTGCATGAGGATCGTCCATGCATCGACGAAGTCGATGGATACTGAGAGCACCTTCTTTCACCGCAGCCACGTCGTCGTCCTAACGATAAAAGAAACTCGTTCGTTCGTTCGTAAAAAGAAAAGAAAAATAATGTACCTCCAGAAACATGACACGATTGGTGTGTTCGATCACAGCACTAGCGTCAGACGCGAAGAAATACTCTACTTCCTTGTCCTCCAACGGTTGAAATTCGGAGGTGCTCTCGCTTCGCGGCATCACCGGAAGATCCGCGCTCCTTCCGTGCGGTCGATGATCTGTCGGAAAGATGAAACGAACGTTCTTACATCGTCGAAGTAACACGTTACACCGTGACGAATTCAATACGATAGGCGCCGCGTTTGTTGTTAATTAGCGCGATATCGTAATGAAATTCGACGTAAACGGACGCGTACTGAAATACAAAAGAACGGTATATTTATGTACAACAACATAGTACTGGTTGAATAATATAGAGACGTGGATGATACACCCAATTATGGCACGATGCAATTACACATCGAAACGACGACGACGAGGAGGAGGAGAACACGCATAAACATTATTTTCTTAACGATACTTTGCGTCGTGCCATTTGTTTGTTTTGTTACAAGCCCCACACCGAATTAGCTGGAGACGTGATAAGTAGATACGTAGAAATCAGTACGCGTTAATAGCAACATCGTTAATAATCCGATGTCCCCTCTAATTAACGACGTTAAATTGAATAAAACATGGTACAACGATAACGAAACGGCGTGAACTCCGCTGTTACTGTTGGTATTGACCAAGCGATTGGAAAAGTACAATAATAAATTGTTAACGTGTATAAAATGCACGATTGGAAATAAAAGTGAAAAATAGAACGGCGTTGTACAATCCTTCCAGATGGCTTGGTGTAATAATTAAAAAAAAAGAAATGAAAGAACAAGCTGAAGGAGATCTCCTTGAGAAAAGAATAAGAAGAGAAAACACCTGTTTCGATGAAATATAGTTAGGGAAAAACATGTTTGTTTTTTAATTGTCGTGTAGTTAGGTGTACAGTTGAGCCCAATCGTTGTATCCATTGTGTGTGTTTTCTAGTTTTCCATTTACTGAAAGTAAAACGCATTCTGTATATATGTAAGCGTATGGCAATACGTGTGCCGTTTTCCTTTTTAATCTCCACGAGATATATAGATATATGTAGGCGTGTGTTGCGTTTCCATGCGATCTTTTGGTGGCACGATAGTATACGTAATTTTGCAGCGTGTTGAAAAAGCGTGGTTACGGATGCGCCCCGTCGGGGCAAGCAGAAGGATAGACAGAGTAGGCGTATTTTGAATGTAAAGTATTACCTTTCGTGGGCGCTTCACCTTCTGCTCAAATTTGGATGCGGGGGAGGGAGACGAGAAAGAAAACAAAATAATTAACAAACAAGTAACGCAGTGACAACGGCAATTACAAAAAAAAATATATATATATAACGACGAGAACGCAAAAGAACGGAGAGAAAAAAATGTAATAAAGGAAAATGAAAATGCGACGATACGAACGATTGGATCTGGCTCTACGATCGAGTTCTCTGCGAGTATTCAATTTCTACGAGAAATTTGGGAAAAGATGTTGGAGAAGTTTGCCGTCTTTTCGCAAATTTCTGTGCGCAATGGAACATGTACAATCACAAAGCTACGAATGCATAGCTTCAGCCGAGGATTTGAATGAAAAAATAGAAAGAATGTAAAATTACGTTCGTGTTGATTTTGCTATTTTTTCGTGATGCGGTTCTCCTGTAATTTTTCAGTCGAGCGAACAAGAGAGGAAGCCGATATTATTCTTGTTAGGAAAGAAGACATTTGTCACGAGAGATTTACAATTAAATTTGTCGAGAATCGTAACGAACGAACGTCGCGAGAAAAAATTTGTATAAAGACACATCGGAAATAAACGAGAAGCGAAATTAGTTCGCATGCATTTCTCCGACACTGGACCTTCTTACCACGTTCGTAGATGTAAATATGAAATTGCATAAAATGGCAAAAAAAAAAAAAAATAGGAGAATGTTAATTTTAAAATTGAAAAAAAAAAGAAGGTCCAATGTCGAGAGTGGAAGTAAGATAAGTGTAGAATAGTGTTGAGTAGTGTATATACCTTTGTTTACGCATGGAAGTTCATCTGTTGAGACGAAAAGTTGAAGAACATAACCATTGGTGTTCATGCAAAAGAAACATCATGTAGTATCTATGTAAAACTTGATCACCGAAGAGGTATACATGCAGCGACTGTTCGTCGACGTTCAAGGGAACAAATAAACAGATATAACTTAAATAAACAAGTATAAACAGCACTGTTTTACAAAACAACATGCTACTTTGTATTAACAATGTGTTAAATTATCACAAAGTCAAATATAGCGGAACGTCGATTGTCCAAATTTCACTTATCAACAAAAGCTTGCTACCAAAAATACTGAGAGTATCACACCATAAGTAAGAATTACAAAAATGAACTAGTACCGAATAATATTAATACAAATACTTATATTCATACTTTGACAGTAAACTACGTTGCAAATATTTCTTTAACTCAACCATATTTATCTCCACGCTACGTTTACCATATCTGCAACTTTGTTTGTCCCAGGTCAACCGTCCTCGAAGCTACAACCACTTCCAATTAATTCAGACAATCAACGTTCCACTGGACTGCTTAAAAAAAAATTAAAACATTGGTTGCTCGATTCAAGCAGCTACGAGGCAAACTCTACTCTCCAACTCCGGTGTTAGCATACTTCTCAGAGGAATATTTTTCGGCGTAAACAAGAGATACTCTGGCATTAGTTATCGTTTATTTTGTTAATCGTTGTTATTCAAACAAAACCGCGTATTCTATCGTTCAACTTAGCTCGAGTATGTCGCAATTGCAAAAAGAAGAGAGGAGCAAAACAAAAGAAACACTGAGAGAAGGAACGTAAAAAGAGAAGATGACAATGGTACGCTTTCAAGTATACGCGTTAATTACTACAAAGAATAGACAAGCCTTAATAGATCAAGACTACAAATGCCAGGCGCGTGCTATTAATGTACACGTGATAAGTGTACACACAAATTAGTCTTTACAATTGACACATAAGGAGACCGTTGTATCCATAATTCTATCCCCACCGCGACAAATTAACCATAACACCAAACCTCCTTGCAGGTAGAGAAGAAGAAGAAGAAGAAGAAGAAAAAGAAGAAGAAGAAGAAGAAGAAGAAGAAGAAAAGAAAACAGGGATGATTACTATTGTAAACTAACAGTTAGAAAGAAAAAGTGTGTGAATATGATCTCGGTTCACCTTTGACCCTTTGGAAAATCAACGGGGAAAGAAAGAAAAAGAAAAAGGTTCTGAGAAGAAGCATTACGTATCCAATGCTCATACCGATTTTCTATATCACCGGTAGCATGTTTTGAATCGTAGCCCTCGGCGCCCGAGCGACCAAAAAATAGCCTTGTGATCTCTCCTAAAGTTTACCAGTTTCACTCTGTGATATACCTTGCTCCGTAAAACACGCTTAATACCTCTCTATCGGAACACTGTGACGTCGATATCATAACCATCGTAACCTGTACAACGTTCGCCGCGACTTACCTTTCCCATAAAGGATGGGCACGTGATCGGTGGCCAATCTCGTTTTCGTTTTAATACCCACGAGAAGCGGAGATCCTCTTCTCGTTGCCACGCATTCTCCCAGGAAGTATTTGCTCTTGAAGCAAAGAGCAAATGCACCTTCCTGTAAAAAATTTCACATTAACGTCACACGATATCTTTTTCCTTTTTTTTTTTCGTTTTTTCGTTTTTCTTCTTCTTTTCCTCTCGTCTGTTCGGAGACAAAAAGAAAGAAAAAAGAAGCTTTCTTCTTCTATAGACCTTATCTCTAGAAGTATTATCGATAAGTATATACCGTTTTACCAGATAAAACATTTAACAGTTGTGCAAACAATCTGACGAACACGGTAATACTGCGCGTGTCACAGATGTTGTTGGATTACCCACCAACTGTTGAACAACTTGCTCGACCAGCTCGCGAAACGAGTAAGCCGGATGCTGTACCCAGAGATGGTGGATGAGCTTCGCGATTACTTCCGTGTCGGTTTCACTCTCGAAACTGTAGCCCCGCTGCTGAAGCAGCGTCTTCACCTCTTTGTAATTCGTCACGATACCTGTGTAAACAGAGCGATTTAACCCTTTAACGCTCGTATTTTTCTTAACTCGATATACCCAAAAATTATGAATTTTACTTCTCTCTTTTTTAATTATTTCTTAGGCGTATGGAAACAAGTTTTCTATTTATTCAGATTACCGAGACTTGGATTTTTGCGACAGAATACGAAGAGCGAAAGAAAATTGCACACTTCTTTGCAATTCACCGCGACACCTGTGTAAAGATCGCGATTTAACCCTTTAACGCTCGCATTTTTCTCAACTCGATGTGCCCAAAACTTGTGAATTTTATTTTTTTTTAATTATCCCTTAGGCGTATGGAAAGAAGTTTCTCATTTATTTACATTGCTGCGACTTGGTTTTTTGCGATAGAATAGAAAAGATAGAGCGACGCGAAGAGTGAAAGAGAATCGCAATTTTTGGAGGATTTGTTGTGTTAAAGAATTGAATTTTTAGTTATTGTCGAGAATCCGTGTATTCTTACCATTGTGAACTACAACGAACGCGTGATCGCTGTCAGACCTCTGAGGGTGAGAATTCACTTCTGATGGGACACCATGGGTAGCCCAACGAGTATGGGCGATACCGACATGGCTGTAGGTCTTCGATTCGAAATCGCCGTTCGTTCCTGAAATACGAGATAGTTCAGAAAAAATTAGATACTTCGATACAGTTTCTTTAAGAATTGAACGGGCTTGAAAGGATATATCGTTGCGAGAAAGGTGGTAATCGAAGTGGAAGGTGAAAAGTATACTTACGATGAAAGATTTCTTCCTCGAGAGCCTTGACCTTTCCCTGCTTCTTAATAATCGAGATATCCTTGCCATCGGCGCTGTCAAGGGCGACGCCTGGAACGACATAAAAGTTGCATCGAACCGCTGTCTCTTTTCGTTCGATTTTTATTCACTTTCGGTTCTCCGGAACCGAGAAGGTCGAACTTGAAAAAGAAGATTCGGTCCCCTCTCGGTAATTTTCCTCGAGTGATCGTTTTTAGAGAATGGATTTTCGATAACACCGCGATCAATGTGTGCAATTCTTACCGGCTGAATCATAGCCACGATACTCCAATCTCTTCAGTCCGCCGACCAATAGCTCGAGGATCTCCCTTCTGCTCTTTGGCGTCAGATAATTCAGATACGCGAAAATTCCTGAATAAAGAAAGGAAATTTTTGTGTCTTTTAATAAACAACTTAAGCAATAACTTGACAATCGTCGACGATTATTTGTACATCGTACATGTTCGTTTCTGTACTTTCTCGTATATATACACACGTTACCTCCGTCCATGTTGTTAACGTAAATATTGAATTGTAAGTAACGCTACAAGATTACTCGGTGAAATGATTAATCCAACAACTACGTAACATTTTAAGTAGACAATTAATCACCCTTTCTACCAGTTACCCCTTCCAAGCGACTCTCTAACAGAGAGAAAACGATAGACCTTCAATGTATTAACCGATACGGCATTTTTCTACTCCTTTCAACGCGCGTTCGAAGGTCGCCACGGTGATAAAACACGGAAACGGTTCGATTTATTGACGCGACCACGTCGTTCTCTGTTCACCCCTGACCGATACATACATCTGTGCATTCAATGAACTTTCCGTGTAGCTTTCGTGTACAGATTCGCCTCGATAGTTTGCTCCTTCGAGTTTTCGTTTAACCCGCAGAATTTCACTCCTATCGAAACTTCGAGGGATGGCTTTTCCCGATCGAACTGTATGGTTTTCTTTTATTCAATTTTCTCTCTGTTGAAAGTATTCTTCGTTCAAGGTACTCGATGCAATACCAGCTTAAGATATTTTCAATGTTGTTAAAGAAGGAGAAAAAGAAATGAACTAGACAATGCAGCAATGCCCATTTCTCCCTTCTTTTCAATACCATAATCGAACAGTATGGTTTCTTTCATTGAATTTTCTCTCTTTCAAGAGTATCCTTCGCTCAAGTTACTCGATACAGTACCACTTCGAAACATTTCCTGTATTATTAAAAAAGAAAAGAGAGAAACGAACCACAGAATGCAACAATGTCCATTTCTACCTTCTGATCAGTACCATAATCGAACAGTATGGTTTCTTTTCTTTCTTCAAGTGAATCGACTGCTATCTTGAAATATTTCCTATGTTATTAATATAAAAAAGGAAAAAAGAAATCGATCATAGAATGCAACAATGCTCGTTTCTACCTTCTTTTCAATACCATAATCGAACAGTATGTCTCTTTCGTTAAATTTTCCCTGTTTAAAGAGTATTCTTCATATTCTATCCTTTCACAACCATCTCAAACTACTTCCTACACCATTAAAGAAACAATCAACCGCAGAGCGCAACAATGTTAATTTCTCCCCCTTTCCAATACCACAAGCGACCAATATGGTGTCTCTCGTGAAATTTTCCCATTTTTCAAGTGACTCGATACAATACACTTTCACAACCACCTCGAAATTATTTTCTACAACGTCACAAAACAGCAACCGAACCGCAGAGCGCAACAATGTTAATTTCTCCCTCTTTCAAGCGACCAATATGGTGTCTCTCGTGAAATTTTCCCATTTTTCAAGTGACTCGATACAATACACTTTCACAACCACCTCGAAATTATTTCCTACACCGTCAAAAAGCAGCAACCCAACCGCAGAACGCAACAATATTAATTTCTCCCTCTTTCAAATGCCACAAGCGACCAATATGGTGTCTCTCGTGAAATTTTCCCACAATACACTTTCACAACCACCTCAAAATACTTCCTACACCGTCAAAAAAAAAAAAAAAGGACCAATCACAGAACGCAACAATGTCTATTCTTGCCCCCTTATCCGATACCACAATCGAGCAAG